TGAAATCCTTATGGGACCGTGAGATGCATCCTTCACTCCGTGAGCATCCCTGGAAGACATCGTACCCTCCACTAAAGTTACAGCATACACACAGTGAAGAGGATGAGGAAGAGGAGGCGGTTTTCTCAGCGCTTTCATTTTTCCTTCCGGCATCGCAGCGTCGTGTACGTCTGATGCAGCGGATTCAAAAGGTGCTGCAATTCGGCACACGTGTGGCCGGCTCTTTTTCACCTGGTCACCGAAAAATGCTGGAATTTATTGCCGCGGAGGGCCAATGGCAACCGCAGTTGACGACACTCTTCAACCCCACCGTGATCCAACCGTCGCCGAGGTCGCACTGGCGGTTGGAATGGGATAACTTTACAAGCGAAACACCGTTAGGGGCGCGGTGGTTTTTTAATCTCGCCTTCCACTTTGAAGGCGGTCACGCCTTCCGACAACAGAGCTCGAAGGAAACGAAAAAAAAAGAAGCAACGACAGTCAAGCGGTCTCGTCGATCCTTTGCCGCAGCGGCAGGCGGACGCAATGGCGAAGGGAAGAGCAGCATGGCTGGTGAAAAGCTGCGGCATGTTGTGTTGGCGGCGCATTGGGACAGCAAGTACTTTGCCGAGTTTGACTTCCTGGGTGCATGCGATTCAGCAGTCTCTGTGGTGTACCTGCTGGAAACCATGCGGATGATTACAGTGCTGTCAGAAACAAGCGAAATCCTTCAATCGCTCACTGAAAATGCGGAGAAAAAAGATTTTTGCACACAGTTGCGTCATGCGCTTTCGCCTGCGTATCGTAAAATTTTGCTTTATTACTACGCCGATGACGATGACGTTATTCACTGCCTCTCGGGCAACACGACTACGAGAATGGCAGGAAATGGAACGGAGGATGAAAATGTATCAAATTGTGAGGAAAATTTTGGGGATGGAGATGGTGGTGGTGGTGTTGCGTGGCAAAAGCTGCTGCGTCATGTGAGTCATCTCCCTGCCATTACAGTGATATTTTTTGATGGTGAGGAGGCCTTTGTGCGTTGGTATGACGATGACCACACATATGGCTCACGACATCTGGCGCAGCAGTGGAAAAAGAAAAAAATGCAGCCTGTAGTCACGGATGCGTACAATAGGGCCGACACTACTCTCTCATATTTTGATTCGATTGATCTTTTTGTGTTGTACGATCTTATGGGACCGGCTGAGACACAGTTTCATAATTACTTCCCCGATCAAAGTGGAATGGCCTTTGCGTTGCTTGTCGATGTGGAGGAGGCACATCGTCTGCGTGCAGAGCGGCTTTCATGTATTGTACAGCAATTTATGAGGGAAAAGGAGAATTGTTCCTCCTACCTTCCAGAGATTTGGTGTCAGCACGGGACACCACATGAGATGTATACTTTGAGTGATGCACCGTGTCTCATGGCTCCTTTGCGGCCCCACATCGACAATGCAGAAAAATCGTTTCCGTCAAACGACACTTCTCAAGCTCACAGTATAGGCCTTCGTGTTAGAAACTTATTTTTTCCCATGGAGGAGAAACTGGCACAGGGCTCACAGCTCGATAATACCTTTGCTATGGAAGATGATCATATTCATTGGATGGACACACAACGTGTTTTACATCTTATTCCATGGCCATTCCCACCATCATGGCATACCGTACGGGATGATGGTAGAGAAATTGATGAAGGAACTGTCATGGATCTTCTCCGAGTTCTTGAAGAATTTGTTCTTTACCTCGGTGAGGGGTGGATACATAGTTGATGGCAATATGATAACCCTTCTTTCATAGATGAAAAGGATAAAACAAAGCATATATACATACATATATATATGTGTATGGATCTTATGTTTTTTTTTGTCCCTTTTAGGAGCTTGTGAAACGAATGATCGCGGGAGAGCTGGCTAACTTAATGAACGTATGTGTTTATCCTGATAAATGAAGGCATTCTTTATGATACTTTTCTACCGTATGAATCTTTTGGGAAGAACGCGACTTTGTAGGGGCAGGGAGCCGATAGAGGCCGGATAAATTTTTATTTTTATTTTGCCATCCCACACACCCCCTTTTGATTCCCACCACGCGGCGGGGTCTTGTGGCTGGAGGACCCCAAAGTCTGCCACTTCGTAAGTAATAAATGCTTCAAATCCCAACTGAGGACAAAGGACCATGCTGGTGGTCCACAGATTTCTATATATTGAATGAGAATAAAACATTGAAGCAATTAACTAACGAACCTTTTTTCCCTAACTTGTTTGGCTTCCATGGATTGTCAGGATCCGGCCAGCTGCCCGGAAGATTATTCTTTTTTTTTTTTTTTCCCTTTCTTGTGTGTTTTTATTCTCCTCTTTTGCCCAAATAATAATAAGAAATAATAAAAAAATAATTGTGTGAGTGGATTTTATTGATTTGAGAAATATATACATATATTTTTTTCCGTCTGTGTGTGTGAGAGAGAGAGAGAGGGAAAGGGAAGGGGGAGGGTAGAAATGACGTGTGAGTGTTGTTGTTGTTTTCTCTTTGCGTTATTTGATTTTATTGATTATTTTTTATTTATTTATTTTATTTTTTTTGTTTTTGCGGCTGCTTGTTTGTGTTTGTGGGGGGGCGGGGCGGGGCGGGGCGGAGATGCCGCCCGCCCCTTCTCGCCTGCAGACCCGCAAATACACACAAATGCGTACAGACAACCGTTCGATCGGTCCCTTTTTGGTTTTGTCCCCAGCCAGGCTGTAAAAGGGAAGAAGAACAAAAAAAAGGAAAATCAACGCCTTTCCCCCATCACTTTGGGCATACGTGTGTTTTTTCTTTTTTTTTTTTTTTTGTCATTTGCTTGCTTTCTTTTATTTTCTCTCCCTCCTTTTTTTTTGTGTGTGTTTGTGTGTGTGTTGTGGATTAGGAAAGAAAATGCTGCGATGTGTCACTGCAGTGTGGCGCTGTAGTTTTAAGCCCTCGCTGGCTTATAATAATCTTGTAAATGCAGGGAGCATTTCACGTGATACCCAGCAATTAAGTGCGCTACCTGTGTTTGATCGTCTTTATGACGACCTTGTAAGTTATACAAATAGCGCTGGTCGATTACGTCCACGTCAGGTAGAGCTTCGGCCGCCAAATCGACTTGGCGTGGTGCCTTCCTTTTTTATTCGCCGTGAGCAGGAGGATAAAGTGCGACGGGCCTTGCAAGAGATTGGGAATGATGCGAATACAGCGTACCATCCTTTGTCTCTTGTAAAAGGGCTGTATGTGTATGGCGGGGTTGGCTGTGGGAAGACCATGTTGATGGATCTGCTTTACCATCACGTCCCAACGGAAATAAAGAAGCGACGTATTCACTTTCATCAATTTATGTTAGATGTGCAGCGTACATTGCATGATATTCAGTACGTTTCAAAAAGCAACTCCGAATTGCAACCGCGGCGCACAAAAGAGGCTTCTGTTGATCTTTTTGATGAAGTTGCACAGAGACTTATTAACGATGTGGAGTTGTTATGCTTTGATGAAGTTGTCGTTGTGGACGTGGCCCACGCTATGATTATGCGACGTTTATTTAACGCTTTTTATAAGATTGGGCTTGTTGTTGTGTTTACATCCAATCGGCCGCCCGATCAGCTGTACCTTGGGGGTCTTAACCGTGAGTCTTTTGTTCCTTTTATTGAGTTGGTGAAGCGGCAGTGTGTTGTGTACGATATGCGCAGTGAGACGGATCACCGCCTTACTGGAAGTGATGCACAGATGTATATTGCCCCGATGAATGAAGAGAACAGCGCGCGGTTCAATAACATTTTTTTGCAACTTTGCAAAGGAATGCCACCAAAGGAGCGAATTCTGCGGGTGTTCGGTCGTGATGTGCGGGTACCCACCGCATGTGGTGGGGTATGTCGATTTCAGTTTACTGAAATCTGCAATGAAGCGACGTCGAGTGCCGACTACGAGATTATTGCTAAAACATTTCATACCGTTTTTATTGAAGGTGTACCTCGTTTCGCGTATGAAAGCAGCGATATTAAGAGTCGCTTTCTCCTGCTTGTGGATGCGCTTTATGAATTTCGCTGCAAAGTTATCATTTACGCTCAAGTACCACCGCGGGAGTTGCAGGAAAGTAGGGCGGAATACGAGGCGTCTCAGAAGCATCTTGAAAGTGGTGGCAGCAGTGGAGACGTGGGTAGATTTGATTTGCTTACGGAATTTGAACGTGAGTCCGGTAAGAGGCTGATTGATCACACGGATGCCGCCTTTCAAATGGAACGATGTATCTCACGCCTCATTGAAATGCGATCACGTGAATATCTTGAGAGTCCGCATCGCCATGAGGAGGTTTCACTGAGCACGGAGTAATGTCTTTTTGTTTGTTTGTTTGTTTTTCTTTTTGTTTTCTTTTCCTTTCCTTTTTCTTCTCCGTGTGTGTGGGGAAGGGAGGGAAGGGGGAAGTTTGTGTTTCCATGGGTATGCATATACGCCTCTGTACCTGTGTGTGTGTGTGTGTGTGTAAGTACTGACAATGTACATCTTGAGAGCGAAGCTGATATGACGGTGTTCAATGACCCCCATCCCTTTAACTTCCGCTGCCTTCAACGCAACGTGAATGTTATGGGAAAGGGGTTCATCGAATTCAAATGTTTACTTCCTTTTTTTTTTTGCTTTTGCTTTTGCTTTCTTGTAAAGGTATAGCGTGTGTATTTGTTCTCATTTATGCATCCTTTTATGCATGTGCAGGGATATGTGTGTATGCGAGGCCATCCCGCCATTATTACGTGCCTCTGACTTGTTGTCTTTGTTACTGTCCGTCTGTCTGTCTATTTTTTTTTTTTTTTTTTTTTTTTTACTGTATGTGTGTGTATGTGCGTGTGTGTGTATGGGGGGAAGGGAGGGGGAAGTTGTTTAATTTGATTTTAATACAACGTTGTGGATTCTGTCTGTGTAACCATTACAAATATAAATATATAAGGAGAAACACGGAAGAAATCATTGAAAAGAGGACGGTGGGGTAAGGAAGAGGGGAGGACGACGATACCCACATGCACGTGTCACGGCAAATGTCTATGCGGAAAAGGAATTCACATCATCATTTCCATGTTTCTGGCATTTCGTCATTATTCATAACGTCACGGTTGTTTTTTCTGTTGTTACTGCTGTTGCCCGTGCCGTACGTTGTGAGGGGAAATACGGAGCATGCATGGAAAGGGGAAGCACTTCCAGAGGGCGTCGTACGCGGACCGTTGCTGCACGAACACGCATTTAGTGCCCCTATCGTGACGGATTGGTGGGATGAGGGGGTACCGCACTTTATGATTGGCGGTTCGGCGGTGGCGAATGAAAAGTTTATTCGTCTCACAACAAACAACCTCGGTGATCACGGTTTTGCCTTCAATACGGCACCATGCGATCACCCATCGTGGGAGGTGCGGCTGCGTTTTTCGATTCGCGCCCCTCTTCCTGTTGTACGGGCGCGTGCACGGCAGGCGGAGCAGGAGGCGGTTCCGTACGAGGGGGGCGAAGGCATGGCGCTGTGGTACCTCGAGCAGCCACTCGGGGATGATCACCAGCACGTGCCAAAGTACAGCAAGCAACTGGACCCGGATGCAGCCCAGGAGGAGAAGTTAAGCCGGGATCCCTCACGCGTCGCGGATCTTCTTTTGAATCACAATGACGAATTAGATGAAGACGAAGATGATGATGATGAGGAGGAAGAGGAGGAAGAAAAAGAAGAGGAAATGAATGAGAAGGCGAGAGAGAAACGTCGTATGGCGCGGCTGCTGAAGCAGAAGGAGCGAGAAGAACTGTATCGCCGTGTCTTTAAAAGGGGCACCTCGATAGACAACAGTGAGTATGAGCCACGCATTTTCGGGCTGAAGTTTTCCGAGTTTAAAGGCTTTGGTGTCCTACTGGACTCCGTCGGGCACCGCGAGGGCACCGACTCTCATCCGCATCATCACCGCAGCAGCAACAATAAAAACAACAACAACAGTAGCAGCGGCAGAGGCAGCGCAAAGAATGCACCACATGACCCTCGCATCACGCTCTTGTTTAATCTGCCGGCGAAGGAGCGAGGGGGTGCCAAACCGGCTGTGAACAACTTCAACCCGAGAGAACCCGACTTTCACAAGTCACCTGTGCGGCTGCAGTGCCAATATGACTTCCGGCAGTTGCCGACGGAGCGTGCGGTGCGGATGTCCGCACAGACGACGCATAAAGATGAGCAGGAGGCACGTGAATCCGGGGGAGAGGCACTTTTGCATCGCACACCGGAGGACCCGGTGGAACTTGTGGTGCGATATCACCGCCGTCGTCTGAGTGTCATAATCACGCGTGAGGATGTGAGCCGCCGTCGCATTGTAGCCGTTAACCCTGCAGAAATGGTGCAAAAAAGGCCGATGAAGGGAGGAAATACGTACCGCGTTGAGAAAATGTACGTGGATACGCTGTGTGGTGAAATTGACAATGTGGATCTTCCGTTAAATTATCACTTTGGTGTATCCGCCAGCACCGGCCCGCGTAATAAGAGGCATACAGAGCGGAAGGGTGCGGGAACCGCCAACTTGCCGTCATCACCAGGCGGTAATCCCCTCAGGGCATTTATAAAAGATTTGTACACGGTGAAGCAGATGGATATGCACGTGGATGTTCACGATGTCATCTCGTTTGAGCTTCGTGAGTTGGGTAAAGACGCAAAGGCGATGGGGTACTCAAAGAGCATCCCGATTGAACACTTTGACTACGAAGTTGACCGACGTGAGCGGCAGCACTTTTCACGACAACTCCCCGTTGATCCAGAGCCAGACGAATAACGTGCGTGTGCGTGGAAAGGAGTGTATGTATATGTATATATTTTTATGTATGTGTATATATATATTTATATATTTATTTATGGGCTACAGGAAAGGGCCATGTGTATGTGTGTAGAAGTAACGTACGGGATGCTGTGGAAGAGAAGAAGAGAAGAGAAGTGTTGGTGAGAAATGAATAAATTACATGTGTGCTCTTTTTTTTTTTTGTCTGTTTATTTTATTACCATTATTATTATTATTATTATTATTTAATATTATTTAATATTAATTATTTGTATTTCCTGGTTTTTTTTTTTTTTTTTTTTTTTTTTGGTGACATTGACTTTTTTTTGTTTGTTTGTTTTTTCTTCATTATTTATGTTGATGATTATTACCGTTTTATTTTGTTTACTCTCCCTTCTCCCTCTCCCTCTCCCTCTGTGTGTGTGTGGAAGGGGAAAGGGGGCCTAAGAAGTTATGTGTGATGCATGCATCTCCGTGTCTGTGCAACGCGTATCTATTTACTGTTGTTTGTTTGTTTTCTGTTTGTTTGTTTTCTGCTGCTGACATCCTGTTGACACCGTGCGTCTCGTGACGTGGTGGGAGAACAACCAACAGGGGCGGGGGGGGGGAAAAAAGAAAGGGAGAGAAGTGTGGACTTCTGACTGTTTGTTTGCCTTCAAAGGAAAAAAAAAAGTGACTTGTGAGTTTACAAGGAGAGAAAGAGAGAGAGAGAGAGAGAGAGCGAGAGGGGGGGGGGGGGGGGGAAATAAAAATTATGCATGGGGGCGATGACGACGGCCACAATGCCTCAGTGATCGCCAGTGTCTTTCGACGCCACCGGTACCCGTTTCATCCTGTCACGGTGGAGCGGCTGTTGTGTACATTTGAGCAGCTGCTGGAGTCGCTCCCCTCCTCATCCTCCTCCTCGCCGTCCATCACGGAAAAGACAGTGGAGGTAGAGGAGGAGTATGGGGAGAAGGGGGAAAAAAGGCGCAGCGCAATTCCTTCCATTGGCACGGAGGTCATGCCTCCTGTCGCTGCGGCATTGGATAGCAACAATAATGGCGCCAGTCATGATCATCCCGATGGTGGCATGAGTGATGATGGCAACAGTCCGTTCTGTGCTCTCTATGCAAAGCTGCAAGCCCTCCTTGAGCAACATCGTGAGATGCGGCGGCTCTGCTTGGAAAAAGAGTCACAGAGGCAAATTCAAATGTATCCAGCACCGTTTGTCATTTCTGTGGGGGCAGAAGAACGTGCACATGCGTCTAGCCATGTGAGTATGATTATCTCCACGGTGGGGAACAATTTACCGCCGTCACAGCGTTATGGATCCCCCAGGAAGGGTAACAGACAGTTTATGTCTGCGCAGCACCAACGGGAGATGAATTATCTTCTCCACGTCGTGCATGCCGCATATGTGGAAACGCAGCGGTGGCAGTCACGATGTAAGGAGCTGCAGGTGGAGTTAGATGGCACGAAGTCACAGTGTGGAGAACTTATGGCGGAGGTGGATGAACTGCGCGTGCTGTTGGCACAAGAGAGGATGATGTCGCAGCAGCTGCTGCAACAACAACAACAACAAGAAGAAGAAGAAAAACTAGAAGACGAGAAGAAGGAGGAAGAAAAGGAGAAGGAAGAAGAGGGTGACGGCGGGAAGATCAATGTTTCCTTAAATTTTGCTGAAAAGACAGTTAATGACAATGGCAGCGATAAGAGCCCCAGCGTACCAGGGCGGGTAGTCCTCTCTCCACTACCGGTTTCGGCAACGGCACACCCGCCGTTGTTCTCACCCCCATGCGATGTGGTGACGACACCATCTGAGAGTCGTCTGGAGCGGCTGGCGCGTGAGGACTTTGTGTCGCCGCCACATTCTGCGCCCGATGGTAATGATCCTAATGATGCAATTGCTGCTACTGCTGCGCACTGGCGCAGCAGTCTCTTTACATCCCCACTCCCCGTGACGTTTGCACGACCGTCCCTGTCGTCGCTGCAGGCCGCAAGGCAGGCGGTGGTCGCCACCAACATGGGAGTTAAGACAAAAGGCATTGCATCTGCAGCGCGTGGGCGCCATGGTGGAGACCGCCGCCTTGTACATGACAAGGGTGACGGTGATAATCCGGATCATGATGCGGTGGCATTGCGTCTCCTGCGACGTCTTGTTCCAGATGTCAGTGAGGGGTTTCTCAACGTCTCTGTTGGTGTGTACGAAGGGGTTTACAAACTCGCCGCGCGTTGCCGTCGGGCCGAGGAAGGGTCCCGACGGCATTTAAAACGGCTACGTGAGTTGGAAGCTCAAGCCGCCACGGTGTCACGACTGGAGGAATGCCTGCAGCGGCAGACCCGACTCAGTAGCACCCTGCACTGCCGCGTGGAGGAGAAGGAAGACATGTTGCGGCAGCTGAAGGTGAGATTGGCCGCCGCCGACAGGGATATCGTGGAGCTCAAACGTCAACTTGCGGAACATCAACAGCGCGAGGAGCCCAATGAGGCGGGAGAAGAAGAGGAAGCAGGAGGAAGGGGAAAAGGAGCGGATCAACAACCGGAGGAGAGGAGCGCCATTGAACGGCAACAAAGGTGTGAGAATGGTGACGCTCGCCAGCATCGTTGCCGTGGCGCTGGTCCGGCGCCAAAACCGGCATACGTGAATGCCCCACATGGCAGAATGAAGAAGCGCCGCACCGATGGAGGCAAGGCCTTGCTAAGTGAACGTGCTCGCGCAGATAACGCCGAGGCGGAGTTGTCTCGGGCGCAGCAGGAGCTGGCGTGTGCCCAAAATGAGCTGCAGGAAGGCAAACACCTCCTCGCGTGCCTTGTGCGGGATGGACAACGTGAACTACCGGAGTACAACAACACAGACATCAAGGAGGAAGGGGATGAACATTCTTCTACAGTACCGACGATGACGCAGTCGCAAGTGGCATGTGGCTCAGATATCATGGATTTGCCTGAGCCACAACCACCACAGTTCCCATCACCGTCCGTACCGCAACAAGAAACAACTCCGGCGGCGGCGGTGGCGGTGGCAGCGCAGCCTTGTGAACTTTCGAAAGTCCATGCGATGGGCCAAATTTCTGGGTGCTCATCATTCTTATTATCGATATGCCCCTCATTGCCATCGGGAGAGGGAGAGGTAGCACTACTCCTGCCCATCACGGGGACTCAGTGCGACCAAAAAGAGTGGGAAGAGGACCAGCAGAAACCAACACCCAATGCAAGGAAGCCAAAAATGAGAAATAGGAGCAAGTGGGAGACGGAATTAGGAGAGGATGACACCGTTGCTCCATGGGGTGACTGGTGAGCCCAGCGTCATTACTTCTCTCTACAAGCACGGTATACACCTATGTGAAATGTGAACCTTCTGTTTTCTTTTTTTTTTTTTTTTCCTCTTTACTCTTTGTTGCTTTTTATGGATTTTACTGCACTGCTGACGGCACGGCAACACGTGTACTTCAGACGTCATGGTGATGCAACTTTGTTTCCCAGAATCACGCGGCCAGTCGATGCCGTCAGCCCCGTGGCCATAAGAACAACGACAACGACCCCGTAAGGGAAACACGGCTGGCTCTTGGCTTTCCCCGAGAATACGGGAGGGAGGGGAGAGGCAATTAACCCTGGCGCCACGCTGAGGCGGTCGGTGGCATTTCCAGGAAGATATTTTCATGGTAACGACCCCTCACTACTAATTCCTATCGACTGCTGGTACATTTAATCTCAACCTAGCCTTCTTCCCGTTAAAGAAATATGTGTATGCATGTATCTTTTTTAATATTGTTATTCTTCTCTTTTCAATTAATCTCCGTTTCTTTTTTTTTTTTTTTTTTGTTTTCTGTCATTTGAAACGACGTCCCCTCTTCAGCGTGAAGGAGTGAAAGGGGGGTGGAGGGGCGACGGGAAAACGTAGCCGGGAATATTTGTACACCAGCAGTACCACTACTACTACCCTCGTGAAGCAATCATTCACCTCTCGAGGTGAAGACGCAAACAAATAAATTTTAAAGAAAAGGGAGCAGGAAGATATCTTTGAGGGGGGTTGGGGAAAAGAAAGAAACAAAGAGAGATGCTTGACGGCGAAGAAGACGAAGAGCTCACGATGGAGCTCCCGCCTATTTGGCAATTTGTGCACCCCGAATACGCCCGTGGTGATGGGTCCTCGAAGGGTGATGGGAACGACGAGGCAGACGAGGATGAAGAAGACGATGAAGTTGCCCGCATGAAAAAGGCGCCAAAGCTCAGCAAACTACTGCGTTTCATCAACGACGTGGACGATGACGAGGAGCTGGAGCGGATGCTGCAGGAACGGGATCCTGTGACGCAGCAGACCCTCTTGCAGTGGGCAACGCGACAGCAACACTTTACATTGGCAGAATATCTTTTGAAGCGGGCGAAGCGGGCGGCCTTTGGCTTCCCGATGGAATCAACCGAGATGGCTGTGTACACCAGGTGGGAAGAGATGCGGCCGGAGTTGCCTACCCCAGCCGAACTGCAGGCACGACAGCAAGAACGTGACAAGCAGCGAACAGAGCGTCTTGCTTCCAAGTTGCAGCAGGAGAAGGAAAGAGCAGACGGCAACGATGAAGAAGAGGAAGAAGAAGAAGAGGAAGAGGAGGAAGAGGAAGAAAATGAAGCGTTACCAGAGGAACTTGTGTATGAGTCATTATCCGAGTACCATGATGAATGGGGTGACCATGGTGTGGGAATTGTGAAGCAAATTGGTGAACTCGGTGTGTATATTGGAGCTCGACTGCGTGATGGGACAAAACAAGGCCTTGGGCAGTCGATTTTTCCAAATGGTGATGTTTATACAGGTGAGTATGAAAACAACCAACGCCATGGTTTGGGTCTGTATTGGTGGGCGAAACAAGGTGTATTTTACGTGGGCCGCTGGTATCGCAGTGTGCGACACGGTCATGGCCGAATTGTGTACCCCGATGGCTCACGCTACCTGGGTGCCTGGTCACGTGACGAGAAGCATGGTAATGGGCGTTACGTGTATGCCGACGGTAGCAGCTACGATGGCACCTGGGAACACAACAAGAAACACGGCTACGGTGTTTACCGCTTCACCGATGGATCTTCCTTCCACGGCAGCTTTGTTGACAATGAATTTGTCTCTGGAGAATGGCGACTGGCGTCTGGTATCACGCGGTACATTGGAAACTTTTCGAAGGATGCACCCGTTGGGGCAGGAGTCTTTCTTCACCGTCTTGGATCCAGTTCACATGACGCCTTTCAACAAGAAGGGTTTTATGTGAATGGTGAGTGGCACCCGGGGGTGTTGCATGGCACCACTCGTGTGCCACCGCGCCTTGAGGTCTTTGCGCCTCAACAGGAGGAACCAAAACGTGTGCCCGTCACATTTGCGCCGGAGTGCAGCGGCGGAAAGATGGTGGATCTTGTCAAGGCGGTGAACTTCCCGCCCGTGCAGCGGTGGATCAAGTCACTAGCCTCCGTGAGTGAGCATGGCAAGCTTGGTGTGGTGCTGATGTCAATTGAGATCTGCTCCGTCAAGTACGACTCGGAGGATGCGAACCTTGTCGTGGAAGTTCGCCTGCGCCCCGTTCTTTATGATGCCGACAAAAAACGACTGCGGCTGTCGTCAATTGGCGACGAGACAATCATCCTAAAGGAGAACACAACGCGGTTGATTCTCGTTGTTGAGCGGCCGGGAACCACTGAGGTGGAACGCCAGCCGATGGTCATCTTGGAAAGGTCCGCGCAAATGACATGTGCGGGGGAAAATCACATGCAACACCGTTTGCCCACTGTGCAGGTGTCAATGGAGGGCGAGATTGAAGGGGCCTTTGCGCGTGCCATTCAGCCCGCACTGCGCGTGACGCTTAACCGTCACACGACAACCAAACAACTTCTCCGTCCCATTCACAGCAACCCGATGCTGGGCAATGCAGCGGAGGATGTGATTATGTATGTACAGGAGTGGCACCCCGACGCACACGCAAAACTGAACGAAAAACTCGAAGTGGCCTCGAGGGTGCCGCCCGAACCCGAAGAAAAAGACAAGAAACCAAAGGACGCAAAACCATTGGAGCAGGCCGTCGCTGCAGAGGCGGCACCGGTGGTACCGGCAACGGAGGGCTGCAGTTATGTTGCAGTCCCGCTTGAAAAGGTCGCGGAGGTGTCCAATGAGGCCCTCACAGTCATCGCCGCGACTGTGGTGTTGCAACGCAGGAAGAAGAGCGAACTGCCGCTCGCCACCGCACCGAAGCAGCGACCGCCCACGCCATTGCCGCCAGCGCCGGAGCCCCGACCAGAGCTCCAGCCGCTGTACGATGCCCGCGCGGTGCTGAAACGTGCCGAAGAGGGCAGCGATAACGAAGACGACGACGATAAGGACACTGCCGGCGCAGAGGAGTGATGTGTGCGTGTGTCTGTGTGTATGTGACAATAGAAGGAGGGTGGAAATGTTTATTGTTTAAGAAAGGGGATAATGAAAAAAAAAAAAAAAAAAAGGGAGGGAAGGGGAGAAAACAAGAGAAACGTGGAGTGAACACAAAGGAAAGAGAAGAGGCAATGAAAAAGTATGAGGATTGTGAGGAGGATTTTGTTTGGTTGAATCTGAGAGAGAGAAAAAAAAAAGGACTTGGTTGATGCTGCATTGAATGCGACGCATTATAAATGTCATTCCCTCTTTTTCTTTTTTCTCTCTTCTCTCTGTGTGTGTGTGTGTGTGTGTTTGTTTGTGGGGGTATAAAATTGCCACGGAGACCATATTTTTTTTTTTTTTTTGCCGCCACCGTTGCTATTTTCTCTCATTTACGATGCCTACTGTTGTTCTTGTTGTTACATCGATTGCAACCACAACTCGTTTCAATGAAGGGGGATTGAAAGAAAGAAGGAAAGAAAAGAAAAAAAAAAAAAAAGGAGGGGGAGTGGGCAGATGAAATAGATATTAGAAGACGAAGGCTGTTTTTTTTTTTTTTTTTTTTTTTTTTTTAAAGAAGCATTGTTATTCATTGGAGGCAATGTATGCATGTACATACACTTCTCTCTGTCTCTCCAGTGGAGCATGCCATGCGGTCATGTCTATATATATATATAAATATGTAAATAAATAAATATATCTTTATTGTTATTATTATTCCCTTGAATTCCACGCATGATGTCGTCCCCTCCCCACCACCACCACCACCACCATCACTTCTTCTTCTTCTTCTTCCTTCAACACGCATGCATACGATAATATATACATGTACATGACGGTTATTTCATGCATTCCCATCGTGTTGCCATCCTCTTTTTTTTTTTTTTTTTCTCTCTTTTTTTCTCCCCCTCCCCCTCCCTCTCTCTCTCGTATTAAAAGGGATAATAGAAACAATAAAGGCAGGAAAAAACATTTGAAGGAAGAGAAAATATATCGGTAAATAAACGGAGGCAAACGAAAAAAGAACCCCCCCCCAAAAAAAAAAAAAAATAATAATAATAATAATTAATTAAAGAAAAAAGAAAAAGAAAGAACCAAAAAAAAAAAAAAGTAATTAAAGAAAAAAAAGCCAAACCGCAGAGGGAGTAAGGAATACATTCATCCATCATGTTCTTCTCTACATATGTCTTGACGAAGCGAGGGCCGCTTGCGAAGATCTGGCTTGCAGCTCACTGGGATCGTCGTCTGACACGTAATGAGGTGCGTGTTGTTGACCTTCGACAATCCGTTGTGGACATTGTGCAGCCGGCGGTGCCTATTGCGTTGCGTACCAGCGGTGAACTTCTTGTTGGTGTGGTGCGTATCTACGCGCTGAAGGTGAAACACCTGTTGAAGGACGCCACAGACGCGACCCTCATCCTGCGCGTTGCACCACTTCCGGCGAAGTCTGTGTCTTCGCCGTCCGTTGCCAATAAGAATAACAACAATGAACCAGATGGAACGGGCGCCATGGCAATGTTGGATGGGGTGTTGATCAGCGGCAATGGTGACATTGAGGCGGTGACATTTGATTGGAGTGGCAGCGCTGCAGCTGAGGCGGTGGCGACGGGGAAAAGTGACGCGGAGGCACTTGAAGCTCGGTTTGACGACATTGCAGACTTGCTGCATGGTTCAAAGCAACCGAAGAGCACACCAGGCATCAGCAGCAGTGGAAGCAACAATAATAATAATAACGATGCCTCTGCGTTCCTGGCTTCCGCATGGTACGCGTTGGAACCTACTTCGCAAGCGGTGGAGGAGCTCCACAGCACACAGCAGGACTATGACGAGATTGCGAAGTTACGTGCGGATTTGGTCGCATTTGGAGATCGTGTGAGTGGAAGCAGCAGCAGCAAAAAGTCAAGTAACCCGAGTATTGAAAAGGCACGTGCCAGTGGTGTGGCGGGCGTGGCATCGGCGGTGGCAGGACTTGGGGGCGACTTTTCGGGGTTTCCCATACCTGGGGAGGAACTTGACATTGGTGTTCCACTGCCGGAGGACCATGCACTGTTGCCGGATTTCCTGATGCCAGCAGAAGGAATTGCGGATCCTTTTGCAATTGCGGAATTGTTACAACAAAAGCAGCAGCAGCAGCAGCAGCAGACAACGGCGCGTAAGACGCGTTCTGTGAATATACTTGACCTCGCCGCCACAACCGTGTCAGGGGAGACGGTGCAACGGTGGATGGATGATCGCAGTGACATTGTCGATGCGGTACCCCGACGTGGACCGTATGACGTGCAGGAGGCACGCGACCGCGCCACAATTTTACCGGAGTCCAGCAAAAGCGATCTGTGGGCTTTTGTGGATGCGGCACCGCTTTCGTGGCAGCCGAATCCGTCCCTTTGCGCAATGTACACAACGTTACTGAAACCGTTTATTGAACAAGCTGAGGCCTCTGCCATGCCACCGCTGCAACAACAAAAACATCAGCAACAGCAGCAGCTGCAACAACAACAAGATGAAAACCTTCCGGCAGGCAGAATGGGAGAGGAAGAGGAAATGTTAGCCGCGGCTTGGAATATGGAAGAGGAGATGCACAACATGAATACCCGCAAGCGCGGACGTGATGACGAGAATGACGATGAGAATAAAAGTGGTAGTGGCGGTCTCTCGATGATTGCAATGGCGACATTGAGGCGCATTCGTGATGAGATTGAAATGCCGGCAAAACAACAACAAAAGCAGTCGAAGAAGTCACGGAAGGAGGTGGCCACTCGTGAATACTGTTTCTTGCATGACGTTTGTCGTGGCATGCGTCGTCGTGAGGCGGCCCGCACGTTTGTCAGTGTTCTGGCACTTGCCTCCAAACAACTTGTTTCAGTAGGCCAACCGTCACGTATGGGGGACATCGAATTGGGTCTCCTGCCTGGTGCAGAAGGTCTCATGCTCACATCTTGACATGTGATATTGCGTGGACTACAAGTTTGACTGCCTTTTTTTTCTTTTCTTTTTTTCTTTTTCTTTCACCACCACCTCCTACTCCCACTCCTTATGAATCAAACGACGACGGTGGCCTTATCGATTTCCAATGGCAGTCGTATTATTGGCAATGGGAGTATAAAAGCACTTTTTGTTTTGTTTTGTTTTGTTTTGTTTTTTTTGTATCGTGTTATTTCTTGTAAAGGAATTTATTTATTTATTTATTTATTTATTTTACTGATATCTATCTATCTATTGTTTTTTTTTTTTATATTTATATGCGTCATGTAATGGTGTAGTGATGAGAAAATGGAGGTTTTCCATGTGGGTATTTTTATTTTTATTATGTCTGGAAAACATTGACAAGTTGTACTTTATTTTTATTGACAGAAGGGTGAATTACCGTATATATGAGGAAGAAGGAGAAGGAGAAGGAGAAGGAGAAGGAGAAGGAGAAGGAATGCGTCTCTCTATCATTGACGCTTAGGGTCATGCGTGTATGGCATACACACACACACACACACAGAGAGAGAGAGAGAGAGACTATTATATATGTATGTATATATATATATTTGCCACTCATTGATGCATCCGAAATTCATAGAGTTAAAATGGCCATTTATTAGCGTACATGTTTGCCAGAATATTTGTAACCCGGTGGTACGTGGGTGGTGGTATTTATTTATTTATTTATTTATATATTTATTTAAATATATTTTTTATTTTTAAAATGGCCGTTATGAAACCTCCCCTCCTCCAAAAATAAAAATAAAAATAAAAAAAAGTTTTTCATGTGTTTGTGTGGGAGGGGGAGAGGAGAGGAGATGACAGAAGAGGAAACAGAGGTGGTGCAAGCGAAGAAGGAAGAATAAAAATGAAAGTCGAGTAGTGAGGAATGGAGAGGGGCAAGAAAGACGAAGGATCATACATGGGAAGCACTCATGTACCCTCATGCCTGTTGTTAACCCACAATTCACATACCTTTTAATTCCTTTTCGAATTTTATTATTATTATTTTTAGAGGGGTGGTGGGGGGAGCAGAGAAAAGAGAAAATATATTTAAAAAAAAAAAAAAAAAAAAGATCGTGGCTTTCTTTGAACAGACAAAAAAAAAAGAGAGAGAGATTGGAGAGAGGGAGGGAGGGTGCATCTGTCTGTCTGTCTATCTCTCTCTATCTGTCTGTATATTTATTTATTTATTGGTGTATTTTATATTTTGTTTGTTTGTTTCTAAAGAAAGAAAGAACACACGCACACGCACACAAACACACAAACAAAAAAAAAAAAAGGAAAGTAAAGGAGGCGGCGGGAGAAGGGGGGGGGGGGGAAAAAAAAAAGAAAAAAAAAGGGCGGCAGAGGGGAGCAGACCTCCATTTAGTTACAAACAGACATTAATATATATATATATATATATTTTTTCTTTTGTGTGTGTGTGTGTGTAATTTTCCTACCTGTTTTTCTTTATTTATTGTTTTTTTTTTGTTGTTGTTGTTTCCATGTCAAAGTACGCCGATCCCGATTACTGGGAAGAGCGGTACCGCAGCAATGACACGACGTATGACTGGTATGTCCCCTTCGACAGCCTTGAACCCATTTTACGTCCCCTGCTACAGCCACCGGGGCAGGTCCGTGTACTTATGGTTGGCTGTGGCAACAGTCGTCTTTCCGCAAGCCTGTACGATGAATTAAATATACGTAAAATCACAAATGTCGATGTGTCGCCAACTGTTATTGCACAGATGGAGCGGCGGTGCAAAAATATGACTGAGATGCAATGGATTTGCTGTGATCTTGTAAACACGTCACCGGAGAAGTTGTTGGCCCTTTTTTGTCCAAATGACTATCTGTTTGATTTCATTATTGATAAAGGTTTTATTGACGCCATCCTTGGGGGGCATAACTCCTTTCACAATGTCTACACAGTGACGAAGAATTTATCACGGCTGCTTAAAAAGGGCGGACGCTTTCTCTCCGTTTCATACGGCTCGCCGGAGACTCGAATGGACCACTTCCGTCGCCGCCGGCTTTTCTTCGATGTGGAACACAAGGCCATTGAGAAGCCGATGTTTAACTCAACAGCCACGACGACAGGACATTATCATGTCTACATCATGACAAAGCTTGGAGAAAAGCAGACGGCGGCAGCCGTGGGAGACGCAGGAGCCGCTTTGGACGGTACAACAGTAAGTGGTGACTCCGATGATGATGAGGACGATTTCTACGATCGCTTCATGATGCAAACAACATCCCCCACCATGGCGGCGGACCCAAGCCGCATTCATACACTGTAATATTCAATGAATGAACTGGAGCGTTGATGTCTGTAATTGTGCATTCATATATGTAATATACGCATGTGTCCATGTATGGATGTATGCATGCATGTAATGTGTGTATGTGTGTGGAGTTCTGAGGGAAAAGTGAAGAGAGTTCGGGATGTAGACTTTAGAGAAGTAGAGCCAAACAACACACATACCGCGGCAATGGACGTAAGTGAATTTAAGGGTTTGCCACGAGAAAAAAAAAAAAAAAAAGAAAAAAAAGAAAGGAAAAAGAAGAAGAATAAACCATGTAGGGCGGAGAAAACCTGTGTTGAATGGCTTGTTTGGTTGGCTTTTTTATTGTTTTTTTTTTGTTGTTGTTGTAGTTGTTTTTGTTGTGTGTATGTTTTCCGTCGTTTTCATTGACGTTTGTTTGTTTGGTTCTTTCGGTTTCACTTCATTCTTCCCTTCTTTTCCTTTACTTTTATTTATTTATTTATTTTTGGATTGTCTTTTACTTCTTCTTTCTCTTAATGTAATGTATTTGTAGCGGAGGGAGGGGGAAAAGTGTGGAGGAATTTTGGTTTCTCCCCTCCCCTCCCCTTTTCCCTTCCCCACCCCCCTGCGTACAGTAAAGAAAAGACAAGGGGTGTGGGTGTTTGGTTGGTTACATCAATACTGTCGGGGGCACGCATCACATTACGGAGAGAGAGGTAGAGAGAGAGAGAGGGAGAGGGAGAGAAAAATAATTTAAAAAAAAAAAAAAGGCTGGAGGAAAAGAAAGGACGGTGTGTTTGTGGGGTTTATTCATGCAAGAAGTTATTAAAATCACGGGCGGCAGTGAACCGTCACCGCCGCCTCTTCCACCATCAACATCGCCGTTGGTCTGTGAGAAGCAAATGGTAGGGAATCAGCCCGGGGAGTTTCTTTACAAACGCCAGGAAGTACTTGCATATATCAAGTCTTTTTTACAGCCCGCATACGACCGTGGCTCCCTCTCATGCCAGCAGTTTGTCTCTATAGCCAAGCAAACCCTGTTATTTGTCATGAGTGCCAGGAATATTGGTATGCAAGGGTTTTCAAAGGACTTTGTGGCGCAAGTGGTGCAACTGCAGATGACGCACGTGCCTCATAAAACAGCACCGACAACACCCATGTCAACACCATTGGTCGAGTGTAAAAAGGGCGGTCACATTCCCTGCTTACATGCTCAGTCGGGTGATCATCATAATGATGATGATGAGACGAGGGGAAAAAAAGAAAAACAACAACAACAACAACAACAACAGTTGTCGTTGCCAACAGGAAATCGTCAGGCATCCCCATTCATGCTACGTAATGGTCATGACGTGGGTACTGTCAATGGAATTAACAATGGGAGCGGGAATCAATTGCTTCTGCGTGACCCCTCCCCGCGTAGCTATGAATTCCCCAGTCCCTTTATGCAGCAGTCAAAGCCGTCATGTTCCTTTCAAGGGGGCTCTACCAAATCAAAACATGGGAGCAACGATAGAAACAGAGTTACTGTCGCTGCACTTCCCGCTGTGGGTGACAGCACGTGTTGTGTGACCTTTTCTTCATTGGACGCAAATCACCCACACAGGGTGACCACAATGACGGCAGAAACAGGGACAGATCTATCGACAGAAGTAGCGATGAAATCATCGTCGCCTATCACAATGAAAGCGAATAACCACCGTCATAGTTACGCGGGTAAAAAAGGGGATGAAAAGGAGAAGGTAGAAAAACAATCCCAGATATCGAGCAATACAAGCGACAAGTTGCTCTGTGTTGCGGAAAAACTCCGTGAGCGTTTGTCGTCTTGGCAATCAATAGAAAATAATGCCTACTCCTCCTTATCGCAGTGTAGGATGGCGGAGGGCTCTGTGGGTGTCGCAGTGACTTCCCTTACGCACAGCTCAGGGCTGGATGAAATCCTTCATGTCCGTTCCGAGATTCGTGATGTACTGCGGCTGTGGATCCTTGAGCGTCGCGAGATTCTTCGAGAAGAGGAACAGGTCTTCACATCACTTTTTCTGCATTTTCAACATGCCCTGATAAAAGACCTCATACGGCACGTTTTTAAAACAGAAGGAGTGGCGGGGGTGTCGCTTCCTCCACCTCCCACAACACCACCACCGAAGGTGCAGTTCGAGCGTGTCCCCCTGCTCAGGGGGAATGACGGCGGAAATGATAGTCCCTACGGGAAGTGCTGCGGAAACAGTCCTGTACTTCACGGTACGACGCAACTCGTTTACATTGAGGATGAGGGGCCGGAAGCAGACGTGTCGCCACCGGGAAATACGACAGCCCCCAAGTCCCTTTACAGGCGTCAGTTCCTGCATCATCACAATGACACCGAAAAGAAAAAGACGTCTCGTGCAGCCTCCATCCGTCGAGATGGCAGCTGTCATAGCCACAGTGGTCGTTTTGGTCCGCAAGGAGAAGCGAAAAGAAGAAGCGAGAGGAAGAGATTGATGGAACAATTGAACGAAGGTTCTTCTTCCTTGCCATCATCTGTATTGCCCTGCTCTTCACCCCTGCGGCGGCAGTCCACGGTGCCTACAGTGTCAGTAACGGAAAGAAATGTTGATTGGGACGATGTGCGCGACGTGATGATGACGCCCTCGCGGCAGTATCCGCCCCATGCCGTTTTCCCGAACCGCTACGCCACAACACCGCAAAGAACGTCAAGGATGAGGAGAGAAACGATGACACCGCCTAAGGCGAAAACCGCAACAGCCGTCTTTCGCCTGCATTCGCCCAAATCGAGCACGGCGCAGCCCGCAGGCGTCAATATTCAGCCGCAAGGCCAGGGAGAGGGCGTACAGGTATTTGCGAAACAACGTCCGAACTTGCAAGGGCAAACGCGTAGTGAGGTGACAAAAAGAGGAAGCGCAGGCGCAGTGGTACAACAGATTGATCGGAAGGTCATTGTGGAATATTTGCGGCAGTTACTTCAGCCAGCATTTGATTCAGGCGCGCTCTCTGTAGATCAGATGGGCGGTATTGTGCAGCGGGCGGCGGGACCTTTGCTGAGCGGTAAAATGGGTCACTTCCTCGCTAGCGAGACCCGATGGAAAAATGAGTTGCGGAAGCAGGTAGAGCATCTTCTTGGGGAGGCACTTCTTGGAAAGCCGTGATTTTTTGCCCCCCTTCAACTGTGGAGTACAACGGCTCTATCTACGCGTATGGTTCCTCTTGTTGTTATTTATTGCTATTGCATCTATATCTCCGATTTATTTATTTATTTATTTTGGTGCAAACTGTTATATATATCGCTTATATATATATATATATATATATATATTCTTGTGAGCGTGCTGTATCTATTTGATAAATGTTCCTTCACGTCTTCTTGATGCAAACATGCGCCCTTTGATCGACGCATATTTTCACTGTCTGTCTGTCTGTGTGTGTGTGTGTGTGTGTGTGTGTGTGTGCTTTTCTCCTGATCTTTCTCCGTCTATTCGTTTTTTGTTCTGTTTGAATCCTTCTTCTTCCTTTGTCTCTCCTCTTTATTTTTTTTTTTTTTCCCGCAGGGGAACAGGTAAGCGAAGTTTCTGATTTGATTGCCGTTTCGATTCACTTTTGGCCCGGGCCAAAATGGCAGAAACGCACGCATATTTACCGACCACTTCTTTTCTCCTTCACGTCGAGCGATTCTTAACATTTATATATTTAATGTTTATATATAAATGTTACTATTCCTCGTGCCTTCTCAAGTAAATACAAAGACCCACACGCCAGCCACCATCGCAGAGCACGTCCGCCCAATGATTAAAGATGTGAAAGAGAGCCCCGGCACCCAAAGTGGGAGCCGCAGCGGAGGCCGTGAAGCACACACCACCGCTACGCACTCGCCCCGGGGACAGCGCGGTGGCTCGATAATCCGTTGCCGCCAAGAATCAATAAAACAACAAATCACAGAACCAACCAAACATGGACGCCATAAATGAGAAAAGGGAGAAGAGGGCAGCCTGCCAGGAGAAAATACGACCTGCCGCATCTGCGAGGGGCCTCGTGCCTTCTCGCCGCGCGGAGATACTGATGGGGCAGAGCCTTTCCACTTCAAAGTGGAGCCACACCAATATTTCCGTGAAGCACGACTTCCTCACCTCTCCAATGTCCACTCCATGTTTGTTTGCTTTTTCTTTCCCATCCCTATTTTTTTATTGTCGTGACATTCTTCCCGTCCGGTCGTGCTTGTACCGGAACCTTTTCTTATCATGGCGTTCTTTCCGCGCGGAGGCCACGAGCAAAAACACATGGGCCTTTTGCGCACAAAAAACACCAGAGATGTGAGGGGAAAAACTGGCCGCAGCAAACCTTTTCTCCCGAGAATAATCAAAAACCACCGCTTCACCGCTACAAAAAAAAAAATTCGTCGTCATATTTCTCACAGAAAACCGTCATAATAAAAAAAACTTCCCGACTGGGAATTGTAAACACACGACCGCGTGGCATGCCGTCTGCGGGGTTTTCCGCGGACCGCACGTAGGCAAAGAATGTCTGTATTCGGCGAGAGTCCAAAAACTCGTATATCCGTTGCAGCTCCCACGTCATGGCGTGTGATTTTGAGCTGCCTTTATTCGCCGCTCCTTGCAGCGAAGTGTTGTCCACCCAAACGTCCATGGTGGGTGGCAAGATGGCGGAAAAGGCCGATAAGGCCAAGCGTACCGCGCGTGCCCCGGCCTGCATGATAAGAAAAGACTTCCTCTCCCATTTCCCTCCGGCAATTTTAACGTCGCCGAATTCTGGAATGAAAACGGCTCCCCATCCATGGAGCGATGCGTCCGTGATGATGGCAGCCGATGCCTTTTCCGTGGAATTGATGATTCGCTTGCGATTATATTCTCGATCATGTGTCGCAATCTCTCGTCCAAACCAACCGCTGTCAGCGGAAGGTTCGCCGGGGATGTCTCCTGCACAATTCCCCGGTCAAGTGCGGACAATCGTCGACGCACTGCCTTGATGAAAAAGTAGCAGTCGCATAAACGCGTGCCCAAAATGGCAGACGCGTACAAAAAACGTGACGCCACAACCTCCATTTCCGCGATGGTTAAAGAATTGAGCGCCGGCATGGCGCATACAGACCGGACAAACCTTTCACTCAGGGATACCGCACGGTGTTCCCATGATCAAACCGCACTCCCAGAAAGGTGTACTTCGCAGCGCCCGATTCGCGTTCCTCCCCCATGGATGCGTGACAACTGTCCGCATTACGAAGCACTTGGGCTTCCCACAATGTCACACCGCTTTTCGACCCTGCAATGCGTATATTGTCGGTCCATACGTCGATACGCACCAATGGAGGTGCAGCCCAGAGGAGTGGACCACCGTCGTCACCCCCGCAATTGCCGAAGTAATAATAATCTGGAGAGTTTCTGGGCCGGCCTTGTATCCCATTGGGAGCCGTGTCAGCTCCACCAGCGTGCCGTCCTCCACGCGGCATCAAAAGAGATGCCGAGTCTCCCGCGGTAAAGAGACTATGAAGGACGACTTTACATCCAGGCAGGAAACGGCCTCAGCCATCACAGGCGGCAAATAATGGGAAATGTGTAAAAGAGGAACATTCGCCTCATAAGGGTCGTCTATGTTCTTGTCGCGTGGCCACGCGATCCATCGTCGTCGTAAGCGGTGGTTTTCTCCTTCACAACCGAAAAAGGGTATTATCCATCCGCCTGTTATTGTAGACGAACCGTCCTCGATTATTCCTGCTGTTCGTAACAAATGCGCATCAGCGGTTTGAATTCTCCGTGAGCCTTCGCGCGCTTTACCGGAGGAAGACGGAGGGAGAGGGGACCGCCCGACGAGTCCCCATGCTTGCATGAGACTCTCCAAGGTGGCCGGGTTCAACCGACTTTTAATCCACTCTAGGTTCAATACGGGCACGTTGACTCGCTGTAGCGGGATAACGTGTTCATCTTGTGGAGTGGCCAGACGCGTCCTTTTCGTGCGTCTATTTATTGTAGCAGCATGATTGTGATTAAAATCATGGAAAAAACGCTCCTCCGCTCTCAACCAGGGTTCTTGCCCTTCCGCCGTTTCTCCCTTCACGTCAATGCGACCAGCGACGACACCTGGGTCAGCACTGTGGAGTGCTTTCCCAAATATCGAACAGTATTCTGGGGAAGGTCGAACGGGTTGACGTGCTTCGCCAACTGCGAGATCACGTGTGGATCCAAATCGTCTGTCTCCACGATTTGAGCAGCGTGTCTCAACGCACCGCGTTTTGTGGGATGCGCCGTGGCATTCCAAGGAACCAAGGCTCGTTCGATTTGGGCAGTGGTAAGATTCGTGAGCTTTTCGTTGTGTCTAAGGCGTCCTGCCCTCGTATCCTCACGAACCGCGGGGCGCGGTGGGGATCCGCCCTCGCCGTCTTCGGCGCGACGGACCAATCCAAAATTAAGGCCCCGTCCGGCTTCAGTGTGAAACTGTTGGGGATTAAGGCCGCAATCTCGGACCAACGACTCGCCGTCATCCACGCAAGTCGTAAGACAACACGTTCCCTCCAATCGGTCCGGCTGCGGATAAGTTGATTCATCCCTTCCTTTGTCAAGGGGCGCGCCTGCCTCGTCTCTGATCGCGCCGCAATCTTTGTAACCCCAGAATCACCATGTCCAGCGGGGTTCGATCCATTTCCAACATGGACCGCAGCATCCTTTCGTGCCGCACTCCGGACTATGGCGCCACATCTAATATTGCCATCAAAAAGACCGCACAGCTCTCCTCGCTCATCGGCTGTTCGTGCGTGCGGCATAAGGTCGTGAATTGCCCAGCTAGAGACATTCTCTGCTCCCACATTGCCGGCGCCCAAATCTCTCGGGACGCCTCGTTCGCTCTCCTCATATAACAGGCCCAAAGCGGGGATGTCGGTGTTTCGTCGTACCACAGTTGAGCGTCGTTGGCGGATAAGCCCCATCGCCCTTCTCGACGATTTTGTCGGGCAATTTGAAAGATCGGGTGGAGCATCAGCGGTGCGGTGCGCTGCCTGTGAGGATTGGTGGGAGGTGGTGGAATGGATGGAGCTGCCGTCGCCAGCATTCATGAGCGGCGTGCGGCATCCCCTCTGCCGTTTTTTGAAGGGCGCCTGTATTGTGAGTAATTCCCTCTCGGACGCACATTGCATGTAGACGCCTCGTGTCCAAAAATATGAAAACGTTGGCATCGCACAGTGCGTTGGGTTTCTCGCCGATCGACGAAAAGCTGGGCTGCCCTCGCATAAGCGTCCGTCTGGTGAACAGCGGTGTAGAGAGGGGCGCGCAGTTTGGAAAGCCGGATGCCGGGATCGGATGCAATCATGAGCTGCATCCGGAATGTATTCCGTAGGGATCTGCCAAATTCATGATTCAAGCGGTGGGATCCTGCCAGTCTTCCAGCATGCCGGTCCACTCGACCAAATTGTCAAAGGCAAGTTTAACCTGCTCGTCCTCCTGTTGCCAGCATTGGTATGCGCACCGGAGGTCGATAATGACTCCGGAGGCGCCCTCATTCCATATGCGCGAGGACCACGTAGTGACGTCGAATGCGCAGAAACTGCGGTTCTCTTCCATGGGCAATTGGGCGTCCAGGGGAGAAGTGCGGGAAGGCAACGACGTGGAGGGGTGGAAATGTGGTCTCCCAAAATTGCCGTGCGGGCGTCTGTAAGCCGCCGAACCGTGTCAGGCCGCGTTGCTAGGCACGCCTCCAGCCATCAAGATATTCGTTTGGTGCGGTATTGTGGATACGCCATCGTTGGCAACGTGTCGAGTAGCGGGGGACTCGTCCCGCCCCGCTGTCTCCGCATCCTGCGCGGGTTGTTGTGCATTATGGCGTGCCTCCCGTTCCTGGAATTGACCAGTGAGGACACCCAAGTTGAATTCGCGCTCCCGTAATTGGGCGCGATCGGCCTCCAACTGCTGTCGTAGTTCTAGGACCTGGTTGCCGGCCCCGGCGATATTGGATTCCCTTACCGATAGGTTGTGATGCGCTTCCTCAACCTGCGAGTTAAGCTGAGCATTCCGATTCTGCACGTCCGCGACGGCGTTGGCGTAATCAAAATTTAGGCGCTCCCTTTCAGCAGTGATGAGCCCTTGTTGGTGCCCCAACTCCCGGGCTGCCCCCATAGCGGGCAGGAGCGCTTGTGTCTCAAAATTAGGGATCTGATGCGCCCGGAGATTCGCAATATTTCCAATGAGAGTAGAATACTGCCATGCTTTAGAGATAGGTCCATGGAGCACGCATAAGCCTGTGGATGATGGGGCCACGGTCAACGTCTCATCCGACATCTGGTTACCATTAATGAACGTCATCTGCACCTGGGTCTCGCCACATTGGCACACCATTTCCCAGAGACGGGCGCCAATACCACACCACTCGGAGGGTGTGTGTAGGGAACCAAAGCCATTTCCTTGAACTTACCTGGCTGTGTGTCTGTAAAAAATAAAAGCAAATATTATCTGGCCTCTGTCGGCTCCCTGCTCCTACAAGGTCGCGTTCTTCCCAAAAGATTCATACGGTAGAAAGTATCATAAAGAATGCATTCGTTTATCAGGATATACACATACATTCATTAAGCTAGCCAGCTCTCCCGTGATCATTCGTTTCACAAGCTCCTAATAAAACAAGAAGCCGAAGCGTGGGACGACCAGCGCACACACTCTCATTGCTCCCGTAAAGCAAAACACACACACAGAGGGAGAGAGAGAGAGGTCGCCCACTCAATGCAATGGAAACAAAACAGAAACAGTTACGGTGCTCCGCCCATGCAGCCAGGCAGGACGGCAGCGGTGCGTGTCGTGCAAAAGAGAGCACCAACGGGCCTGCATGGGTGTGCATGCATATATACAATGGGCACATATTGTGTGTGCTTCGTGGGGTGAGGTGAGGGCGAGAGTCCATGCAAGGGGACACACACAGAGAGTGAAGGACGAGTGTGTGTGCGGGCGGTGCGCGGCTCTCTCTCCCTCACTCTCACGCGGCCACCACCGCAGCAGCAGCCGCACACGCAACAACAAGAAGAAGAGGCAAAAGAGGGGAGGCGGTGTGGGAGAACGCGGTGCTGCCGTCACTGTCGCCTGTATTTGCGGTGGCATTTGTACGAAGGGCGTTTTTATCTTTCGCGGATTCTTCGCCACTTTCCGCGGGGTGTTCATGCTGTTGATGTTGTTGGACTTGTGTTTCATCACTTTGCTGCTGCATTTCATTTTCTTCTTCATCTTCTTCTTTTCGTGTGTGTCCAGTGCCGGATGTCGTTCCTACCGGTCCTTCGGGTAGCGAGGAGTCGTTAGTAGGCGCTGCTGCAGCAGGCGACTGATCTTCTGTTTGAGAGTCCCCTGTTGTGTTAGATGGATTATTGCCTGAGGACCCCGCTGTACCACCACTGCTGCGAGCTGAAGAATCAACACCAGGAGCAGCAGGAGGATCTGAAGGACTTTCAGATGAATCAGAAGAAACGCCACCGGTGACGTGACCGCCAGTAGAATTCCCACTGCTTCCTCCAGAAACAGAACTGTCTCCAGCACCAACAGAACCCTCTGTACCTCCAGTAGGAGGAGGAGCAGGAGAAGCAGAAGGACCTCCAGCGCCAGCAGCAGAACTGCCCCCCTCCCCACCACCAGAACCTGTATTTGTATCAGAACCTGAATTATTTGCATGCTGAGAAGTATTACTTACTTCCTCATTTGCTGCTTCGACGGCAGTAATGGGCAGTACTGACCGCAAACGCACCGTAATCGCAGTTTTATTGCATCCGTCAGGCATGTGGGATCCATTCTCACCCAACACTCCCGACGCCATGCAGCCACCCAGTGCGTTGGTGTCAACGTCCCTCGCATAAACACCGCCGGCAACGCACCACAGCACGCAGAGGGCACACACCAGCAGCACACGGCCAGTCATCGTCATCGCCATCACTCCTGTCACTTGCGTGCAGCCTTCAGCACAAAATAACTCCCCGTCAACGCAGAGTAAAAGCAAAAGGAGAGACAAGTCACACAACAGCCACGCCACAGTCACAAACGGCAGCAGCCCAAACAAAAACTATTCACATTTCGTGCGGCATCCGGCCTGTCTCTCCGCTCCTCCTTTCGTGCAGTCCGTGGGACGCACAGCAATGAGGCCGGCACCGCGTGTGGGCAACAAAAACAAAACAAGAGGAGAAGCACGTCACCCATGACAGTGTGCAGCAGCCGACCATTGAATAAAGGAACAGCAAGGATGCTTATCATTCCAGGAAGGCAACAAAACCAACAGCAAAATGTAAATAATAAAAGAAAACAAGCAGGGAACGCGGCACATGTTCTCTGCGAGGAGTCGCAATGCCACACTCTTCGGCTCACAAGACCGCCACAACTCCACACAATCCCAGAAGAAGCAGCAACGCCCAATACACGCACACACGCACAGTGCTGCCAACAGTTAACTCTCGCAGTGTCAATTTCGCGTCGTTGTGCAGGGCAAAGCAGTCGTGTAGACTCGCACCGCTCCCGGAATACTGCGCGGTGAATTCTCGTAATAGGGTTTTTTCGTTTCCAGAGGCATTGCGTTGAGTCAATCCGCCCGCATCACCCTCAGCAACAAATCCACTGCCTGCAACGCCATTTTCTGAAAGGAGAGATTTGTGTCCAGTGGCGCTGCGCTCACTCACCTTGTCCGTGTTATCCGCAGCAACGTGTTCCCTGCCGCCATAAGTGACAGACATGATCCCGGATGCATTCGACGCCACTAATATTCTCGGACCGTTGGCAAAGGAAGACCTCTTCTTGGATGCATTCGGGACCATCACTTCGTTCTGATTGCTGGCAAACTCAGGCCTCGTCTCGGACGTGTTGGTAGTCGTGTTGGATGCGGGACTCGGATCGACGGTGTTGGGTCCGTCAGCCGCCGCAGACCGTCGCCAGTCCTCGTGTTGACGTGACGGCTCAGCATTCACTCGCGGCGCAGTTGTCCCGCCAGATTTTGTGTCATCCTTCCCTTCACGGGGTGGCGGCAACTGACGGATGCCCGTCTGGTCAGCATCGCCGCTCCGTGCAGGCGGATGGATGGTTCCATCGGGGGAAAATTGACGCCACCACAATTCATAAGGGCCGGCGTATTTATGTGCCGTCACATTCATCGTAGAGGCAACGGTGGCCCCTTCCTCTTCCGCTGCACAGCTGGCGGCACAGTTGCTACATGTGTGCACCCCATTGGCCACATGGCACACAGCACCCAGCTCACCATTCCTGCCATGCATGCGCACATCAAAGCCATTGAAAGTATAATTCTCACACTGAGCCTCAGCACTGGCTGCAGAACACTTCTTCCACGCCCACACACACACACGCACGCGATAGCTCAGGCTGCCGTCACTCGGAGCACACGACACATCCACCGGCACAACCACCGCATCCGCATCACCAGATACATCTCCAGCACTCCCAGCAGCCGTCACACACACGGACGAGCAGCAGCAGCACAAGAGCGCAAGGACCAACACGGCGTCGCACCGTCACCATCGTCACCATCGCAGTCATTGTCACGCGTAGTGGAGTCGCTGGAGTCAGTGAGCTGATCCGTGAGACAGAAGAAAAGGAATGCAACAAGAGAGAGAGGGACGGAGCACAGCGGATACAGCGAGAGAGAGCAGACAACATGCGGAGTGGACAGCAGGCCCAGCCGCACAGTTCACACACCCCGAGACGGCATCCACGCAAGGAGGGCACACAACGCCAGCAGCCACCCACCATGCAGGAGGAGAAGACATCCACCAACATCTCCCCCAGCTCATCTCCACAGCCAACGGGAGATGACAAAAACCCGCGGCCACCACACAGCGCATACGGAGCGAGCAAACCCTCATCCATCCATCACGCGGCACCAAAATTTCCAGCCATCGCGCCCTCAATGGGACACGGAGCCCAACTCAACGCAGTCGCACGCGGTGCATCACACCCGCAGGAAAAGGAGACTCGGGCTGTGCGCTCCCTCTCTCCCCTCCTCCTCATGGCCACGGAAAAAGACAACAGCCGCCACACGCAACTGCCAGCATGCACTGCAAAAGGAGCATTCAAATCTACTGCAATGTGCATCTTGTGGTTGTGTGCCTGCAGAAACACAAAACAAAACAAAAAAAACAGCGACCAGAGTATGTGGAAAGACGCACAAAAATGTACAGCGGAGGTGCATGGCGGAAACAACAACAAGAAGAAGACCGCTCAAACTCATGACTGCACTGCAGCCCAAGCAATGGCAATTCACACAAGATTTATTTAAAAACCAAAAAAAAACTTCCCCTTCGTCTTAAATAAACCCCATCACACAAAATAATTATAAATAAAAAAAAAGAAACCGTCCATTACTGTTCCACAGAAATTTAAACAATCGCCTGGCTGCCGTGTGGCCACTCCAAACTGTCTGCATTTATTTTGCCCGCAAAAGAAAATTAAAAGATATTTAAATGTCTTTCAACCGTCCGACCCTCTGCGTGTCCGCACATCGTTTATATTTCATGCGGTCATCTGCGTGTTGCCGCTCCCCTCAGCCCCCTCATCGGCGCGTGAGTGCGGCCCGCAGAGCACAGTCACTCGTGTGTGGGGACTGAGAGAAGCACGCAGACATGACGGGAGTCGCGTCACTCCATCAGAAGAGTGAGCGCAGCAAAAAAAAAAATCATCGGAGGGGAGAGAAATGCTGACGGGACTGCCGGCGCGAGAAATGCACACGCAAAGCAAAAAAACTTACTTTAAAGAAAAACACGGCGGCAGGGTGTGGCTGTGTGTGTGTGACGCTGCGGGTGTCTGCCAGCCCTGGCCGCAAACAAAACAAAACAAGAGGGAAAGAAATGTGTGCTCCGCCCCACAGGCCCTCGTCGCACGCCCACACGTCACGGCTCCCTCAGCGCGCCGTTCGTCGCGGCCCCTCCTCATGCGTGCAGCAGGCGAGGCGCACAGGGCCGTCGTCATGAGCGTGTCGGTGGGTGTGCGAGCGGAGCAGTTGGGCGGGAAACACACGGCACCCCTCGCAGGAAGAGTGCAGCAACAAACAATTAAAAGAGGGAAGAGTAGAAAAGAAAAAACGTCCATAGTGATTGCCCCAAAAGCAAAAAAAAAAAAAAGATGAGGGAGTCAGTAATTTAAAAAAACAGGAAAGAATTATAAAGAATTTAAAGATTAATAAAAACTACAACATTACAAAACAAAAAACGCACATAAAAAAAAGAAAAATTATTTTAAAAAAAAATTAGTTCTTGGAGGTAATTCTGTGCAGGGGAAATCGCAAGTGTCCCACGCGGCAGCCAGTCACTCCTCACAGAGCCGCAAACCCCCACAGTCCCAACAGCAGAAGCAGCGGCAGCAGTCCGCTCTCACGCATGGCGCCAGCATCGCTGTTATTCCCCTGCGCCACATTTCCAAGGCTGCTGCTGAGTGCCGTAGCATTGGCTTCACCGTCGTGTGGATGGATCTGCTTTTCCTCCTGCCCATTTGTTTCTTCCGCCGTCTCCCCATTCCCACCAGAGCGCGCGCTTGCCTCAAGATTCACTGCGGGTCCATCTTGCCCCTCGCCCATAGTTGTAGGAGCGTTTGCATCTGCTGCGTTGACATTACCCGCAGGAGTTTTGTGTGGTTCATCTTCCTGCGTTTTACCTCCAGCTTCAGTACCCACTGTTGGGTTAAAATCAAACGAAGAAGCGCCATGAACAGTTTGAGTTCCCTCGGAGGATGTTCCTGACGACAGCTGGTTTACAGAGCCCTCTTCTCCTGAGGAAGTCGTGGCAGTGAGCACTGTGGATGTGGATACACCGTGACTATCCGCAACCTTACTTGTCTTCAACAATTCCTGTTCGCCCTGCTCTTGTGCGCCAAGATTAGTCTGAGGCACGGTTACCGGCGCAGGTGGTTCTCTGACCTCTGGTGCACGAGCATCCCCCGTCACTGCTTGTGGATCCTTCTGCTTTGAAATAGAAAGCTTTGTGTTAAGAGCAGTAATATCCGCGGAACTCAACGGGCGGTTGTACAGCAGGACGTTCGTCACCGTCACAGAGACGTCTCCTTGGCCCTCTGCGCTGTCTGTGCTGCCTCCATCCCCTCCAATGTAGAAGTGGGAGACCACTTTCGAATCCTTATTTTCCAGTGCACATGGCGCTTCACCCAGGGGCTGACCATCAACGTACGCGGAGCCATGGGTGCCGTTCTGTAGCACGATAGCCAATTGGTGTGTTTCCTCTGACTCCCAAGTACTGCTGAGCTCATTAAGCGTTTCGCCACCGCAAGACAATTTCCACTTAACTCCGCTGTTGTACGACAGTCTCAGGAGTACTGTATTCTCAGCACCATTCATCTTCATACCCATCACAGAAATGGGACTAAATTCCTCCGGCACGTTGTCGATGGACACCGTCGCCACAAGAGTGAAGTTGTGGTTCGCAAAGTGGTACAGCTGATTCTCCCCCTGCGCGCCAACAGGCCACTCCGCCCACGCTCCCTGGAACTTCACGCCATCGGAAGTCTTTGTTACTCCTGTTGCACTCCCCTTTACTGTGGCGTTCACCCCGAGGTACTCGTCCCTCCATGTCTTATTAGAGAAGTTGCCGGACAAAAAGCCAACCAGCCCATCCGTGATCCTCACAGCGCTGCAGGCATTGTCAGTTGAGGCACTCTTCTCAGTACTCCCAGAAGGGCACAGTTTGGAGACAATTTCGTCCACTTCCTTCCACGTCGCCAGCACCTCCTTCACCCGCTTCAGCTGCTCAGTCAGAAGCACAGAGACCATACCGTACGACGATGGTTTCCCATCGCCCTTCTTCCTCTCGTACAGTGCAATCAACTCCTCCTTCTCATTATTACCTTTATCACTTTTGTACAACAGGGAGCTGGCGATAATCTCTTCTTCATCTTCCTCGGATACCGGCCCAATATCAATAATGTGCGTGTTGTCCGTCAGCCAAAGATGGAGTTCACCCTTTCCATTCTCTTCCCCGTTCCAACTCGAATACACTGGCAGAGTAACGAGCATCACGTCCCTGTCCTCAATCTTCGCTGTGATGAACCCGCTTCTGACGGCCTTCCCTTCTCCGTCCTTTGGGCTGCTCCACACGCGCGAGAGTGTCCCGAGCGCCTCCGTCCACGGATCCCCCTTGTCACCGGACTCGTACACCCTGCGGCGGCCGTCATCACACGCAGTCATCATCATGAGTTTATCGTCCTTCCACTCCACGACGGAGGGATCACTGCAGCCGTCGTCAGACATTCCCTTTGACAGCTTCCAACTCGCAGCGTTATCCTTCAAGGTGTATATGATGAGCGAAACGGTCTTTCCTTCCTTTTCTGTGTCAGCGTCCTTCTGCTTTTTCTTGGCTTCCGCTGGGAACACAAGTGTACCGTCCTTCATCTTCACACCCGATCCGCCGCTGCCAATGAGCTGTGTCAAACACTCGTGTTGTGTGCCAAAAAGACGTCGCGGGAGACATTTAGGATCCTCCCAGTTAATTTGCTCGTTACTTTCATCACCATTGACGTCCCCTTTCACCAGCAATAGCCCCGAGTCATCCGCTCCACTCTCCTGATCATCAGTGGCAGCTGCCCGGCTGCATTTCCCAACGAGCATGTAAACACCATTTCCCTGCACGACTGTTGTTGGTCGGCTCACATCAACTTTCTCCTTTTTTTCGGAAGCGCCTTCCTCCAGTACTTTTGTCTTCGTGTTGGCATCCTTCAGAACTCCCTCCTTTCCGACACCACTTCCTTGTTTGAGAAGTTGGGATGCAATGCCAGTAAAGGTGTCTTCACCCTTCTTGCACTGCGCCTCGGCAACGGCAAACACTTTTCCGTTCATCTCAACGAGGCTTGGAGCACGGAGCGAACTCACCGTTTCCTCGTCATTCTTTTCTCTCCAAAAAAAACGTTTCCCATTTAAAAATTTCGCAGCTGGCGCCGCCTCACCAGCGGCCGCAGCTCCACAAGTGCAGCAGCACATCATCATAAAAAGGAGGGGCAGTACCGCAGAGTAGAGGAGGTGCCGGGACATTTTGGGCCTCTGCGGCTCACTCTCTCTTCCTTCCCTCCTCCTCCCGCTGGATCCGGCCACGCGGCGACGGTAGTCTGTGCGGGGTGCCTCCACTGCAGCAACACGTGAGAGCATATAAATATGTGTGTGTGGGCGGTGTTTGTGTGCTGTTGGTCTTTCAGTGCCTTCAAATTACAGCGGCGTTTATCGTTTGTTTTCCTTCTTCTTTTGTGATTGAGAGAGAAATATAAAACACGCCAAGAAAAGAGGGTGAAACTATGAACACCGCCACCCATCCACAGTGAGTGGCACCATCATCCCCGGAGTCACTCCCAACAACAACAACTCACGCACACAGACACAAGGAAAGAGAAGGGAGAACAGTGCACCGGGAACACACAACGAATGCCACCACCAGCAGAAGCCACGGCGGGTACGTAGTTATTCTTCACGTGTCAGCGGACACTGAACAACGCCCACGCAAAAAACACAACCAGCGGAATGCAAAAAAGAGCACAACCGCCCTTCGCAGCACCCGCGCGCTGCCGCCAGTCGTATTGCTGTTGTCTCTTCCAAAGCACTCGCACATCGCACATCACCCCGCACAGCCGGAGGAGCCTTCGTCACCGAATCCACAGCGGCAGAGACACATCGGCAGTTACAGCTGTTGGAAGAGAGTCAATAGACACTCCTTCCAGACACCCTCAATGCCACACCATTCAATTGCTGCACGTCGCCAAAATAGCAACCGCATCACGTCAACGAGGCAAATCGCAGGCTCACACCCTTTTCGCAAAAGCAACCGCAGACAGAATCTTCTGTCCGTATTTCCAGCGTTCATTCTTCTCCGCAGCGTGTGTAACATGGCCTGTGTGTGTGTATGTGCTTGTGTGTTTGTCAGCGCCTACACTTGCGGAGCAGCTGTGCGGATCAAGAGAGAGCAAAGAAAGCAACGGCAGAGAGAGAAGCGGATAGCACACACGCAAATTCCTCATGCCATCACACACACGCAGCCGCGGAATGGGTGCACTCAACCACAAAATCAAAAAGAAAAACAAAACAAAAAGCCGAAGCGTGGGACGACCAGCGCACACACACTCTCATTACTCCCGTAAAGCAAAACACACACAGAGGGAGAGAGAGAGAGGTCGCCCACTCAATGCAATAAAAACAAAACCGAAACAGTTACGGTGCTCCGCCCATGCAGCCAGGCAGGACGGCAGCGGTGCGTGTCGTGCAAAAGAGAGCACCAACGGGCCTGCATGGGTGTGCATGCATATATACAATGGGCACATATTGTGTGTGCCTCGTGGGGTGGGGTGAGGGCGAGAGTCCATGCAAGGGGACACACACAGAGAGTGAAGGACGAGTGTGTGTGCGGGCGGTGCGCGGCTCTCTCTCCCTCACTCTCACGCGGCCACCACCGCAGCAGCAGCCGCACACGCAACAACAAGAAGAAGAGGCAAAAGAGGGGAGGCGGTGTGGGAGAACGCGGTGCTGCTGTCACTGTCGCCTGTATTTGCGGTGGCATTTGTACGAAGGGCGTTTTTATCTTTCGCGGATTCTTCGCCACTTTCCGCGGGGTGTTCATGCTGTTGATGTTGTTGGACTTGTGTTTCATCACTTTGCTGCTGCATTTCATTTTCTTCTTCATCTTCTTCTTTTCGTGTGTGTCCAGTGCCGGATGTCGTTCCTACCGGTCCTTCGGGTAGCGAGGAGTCGTTAGTAGGCGCTGCTGCAGCAGGCGAC